GGAAGAAAACACTTGGCGACAGGACTTTCGTAGTGGCGGCACCAAAGCTTTTCAATGCCCCTCCTCGCGAAATTAAACTCGAGAAGAATTTTGATATTTTTAAGACTTCAGTTAAAACGTTTTTGTTTAAGTCTGTATGGTTAATATTATTTGTAAAATTTATGAACATTTTAGTTTAACATTTCATAGAGCGTCATCTAAGGAACCGCTCGACCAATCAGATTGCTGGAAACTCTTTGCTCAGCTCCGAAATTATACTAAATATATTTATAAACGTAAAAAACCTTATCCTTGAATCGGAGAGTGCTCTACAATCATGGAGCTTTGTAAACAATTATATAAGAAAATAAAAATTGAAACTTCGCACTAAAACTTCGCACTACAGATCTGTTTCGAAAGGGTTAAAAGTCTACACAAATTTTTAAGATAAATTTGTTCGTATGAACTTGTAAATTAGATCTCATTCAACGCGCATTCGATCATATTTTAATATGTTAATTTGCGCGCTATAAGTAATAAAATTATTACAATTCAATTATATTCCGGCTTAACTGACGCAGTTTGAAACTAGTAAATATAACAAACAATCACAATAGTTACACAATATACGATATAAAGAAATTACGAAGAACACGACGGAGAGAGGGCTATAAAACACTTACTTGGTTACGGCCACGGAAAAGACCGAGATATTAACTAACGTTATCGCATTACGGACGCTTCGCGCGAAAAACGAGTAAACAACCATCGTACATCAATAAATTATACAAGCATCAACAAGGCGGCAACAAGATGAAAAAGAAAGGCGCTAACAAAGCAATAAGTATAGTTACAGTGAAAGACTTAAATAAAATATGTCACCCTAGAACTCACAATATGTGTGAACCGCGAATTAGTAAATAAATGATTTCGCAAAGTTGCAGTTTCACACGATTTTCATGTGTCCACAGTCATTTATTCATCACTCGAGCTCCACGGGTTTTTTACGAACCAACAAGATGACCAGCTCCCAGTTGGCTTGTTAGCTCAGTTTGTAAAGCACTGCGGTGGTATCACAGAGGTCATGGAGGGGGGGCGTTGAGGTTTGCGGTTTTGCGGTTTTGGCTATTTCTTGGTTCGGTTTTTCGGTTTTTGAGCCAAACAACGTCGGTTTTTCGGTCTTGTTGTTCATTGCATTTCGTGGATTTTCCGTTTTCAGCATTTGGTTTTCGGTTTTCGTCAAAATTTTGACGGGTACTCGGATTTGGTATCCGATGTGCTTTTTCTGTTTTTCATATTGGGGTTCCGGTGTCCTAGCGGATTTGGACCCCCCTAGAATTGGATCCCCCGGTCCAAATCCGCTAACGGATTTTTACCCCCCCCCCACCCCCTCCGCGGATTTGGACCCCTTGAACAAAACTGATTAAAAACATTACCATACATAATTTTCTGATAGAAATAATAATAATTCAGAAAGTAGGCTTTCAAAGAATGTTTTTTCAGAAAGTAGGTTTATAAAGTAGGTTTTTATTTTAAAACATACGCCTAGACGTTATCTTTTTCTCAGCATTGCGTCTCAATTTAAGATTTTCGTTAAATTAACCTGCAGCTGTAAGTTTGTTGTTTACCTTTGAAATGAAAACGAAACGTAAATTTTGAAATCGTTTGTTTGTTTGCCAGTTCTCTTGAAAAAGTGTGAAATAGAAAATAATAATAAAAACCGTTGAATGGGTCAAAGCTTCAATTATCGTTTGTTTTGCTTCTGTGAAATACCAATTGCTCGAATCTCGACTTTTCGAAACTTCTAATAGCTCCAACCAAAAGCCTTTAGTCAACGCAGTTTTTCGAAATAAGCTTTATTTTCACGAAGGTTCGAAAAAATCGGGAATTCGCTGTTCGTGTTCCACAACTGATATGCGTTGCTCCGCCTACTTCGCTTTCAA